CTTTTATATTTTTAGAGAGGCTTTTACTAAAGAGTGTGTACACTCACGAGAGAAAGAGAGAAATATAGCTAGAAGTCAGTAAGAGAAGCCATATATGTGTGTATACATATATACATATATATAAATTTTTATTTTTGTTATCATTTTCCATCACTAAAGAGTTTCAAAAAGTAGTTCTTGCTATAGTGTCTGAAATATGGTGGTGCTCAGTCCATGTTCATTAAATAAATGTTTTAATAAAATTTGTCCTCTTAAGGATTAATTTTAACTCTAAAACAGAAATGATAAAATTTAGGGACCAGCAGATGGTGTAGTGGTTATGTCACTGGACTTGTACATAGTCAACTTGGTTCAAGTCCCAGACCTGGAGGCTTAAAACTCACGCAAGGCTTTGCTATTTATGGAAAATATCCTTTGTAGTGTCAATGTGGCACAATGGAGACTACACCATAGCTGATTTTTTGCTGATGCAAATAATTTGAGGGAGAGTAGAGAGGAGGGAAAAAATGAAGGACATGACCAAAAAAGTGTGACCAAATAGAGGCTCACAAATGTTTGGATTACTTTATGTGCTTATTGTGGAATAAGGAAAGCATTTTGTGTTACATGTATGTGAAAGACACTATGTGAAGTTTTAACTGTCTTCTCAAAGACCTTCCATGCTTTTCTTTTGGTATTTCTTAAAGCCAAACATAAGCCAGAAGAAATGAATGTTCTTAAGGGGTGGGTTTTTCTCTGGGCTTCTGTTGGTTTTTCTGTGGGCCACTGCCCTCTAATGGAATTACTCTCTTTGGCTGTTTGATTTTTTTTTTTCATATTGTATTTTTCAAATTTGTTGTACGGTGCCCTGTGAGCATCAAGTACCACTGGATGAATAAAACGTATTATATCAAAAACAAAAACAAAAACAAAAAAACAAACTCATGCAAGGCTATGAAAGAAAGATATTGTATGTATCTACTTAATATATACTGACTATCTGCTCTCTGTGGGAGAGACTGAAATATTGGAGGGCATAAAAGCAGTGGAAATAGTTATGGGCGCTGAAGACAGTGTGGAATGGGGAGGGGAGCAGAAAGGAAGAGTACAGAGAAGGAAAGCAGGAGGAAAGTAGGCACAACATTTGTGGGACACAGATAATGGTTTATTACCTGTCGATGATAATATGTATAGTAGTTCAACTGGAGTGGTCTGAGAAGTATTTCATGTTAGGTAAATTCTCTTTTACAAGCCAAATGATGTATAGTCATTGAATGTTTTAAAAACTAAGAATAACAAAAAAAAAAAACTAAAAAAAAGAAAACCTATTTGCTGCTGCTGATGTGGATAGTAATGTCTGTGACTTGACTGATATGCATGGTAATCTGGAAAAAGACTTGATATACACTGTAAAAATATATGTGGTTAAATGTAATATTTAAAAAAACAAAACAAAACTAAACTAAACTAAAACTCACTCTAGGAGCATGTGCATGTGTGCCCAAAATCCAGAGAGGAGAATGAAGGAGAAGGGATTGTGGCATGGCCATACTCTCTGGGGGGTGATTTCTCACTTTCGATCTCTCTGTCTTTCTCTGTCTCTCTGGCAAGCACACATGACCCATAGCCAAAATCTCTATTAAAAAGAAAATAAGAAATAATAATTTATGCCTGACAGCATGGATTTAGATACAGTAGCACTAAGACTCATTTTTTAGATATATGATCACATGTGAGAACTTTTTTTAAATTAATTTATTTATTCACATTTAATCACATCTTTACAGTGAACAACATTTCTTTTTCCAGCACAAATACTGTGTATGTCAGTCAAGCCAAAGATATTACTCTATAACTTATCAGCAAATAGCTTCTCATTTTTTGTCAATTAAGCATACTTTTACTTTTTTCCTTCCCCCTCTCTCCCTTCCATATTAAACTTTTTTCCATATTTTATTGATTCACAAGATATGTTAAACTAAAAATATGGGCAAAGCTAGAATCTAGTCACAAGTGTCCTGTAATTTACCTCTGAAATATTTTTTTTTCTGAAACTTTTTTTTTAACTTAACTTAAATTCATTCCTTAAGCATCATCACAGCATACAAATGTGATTTCCCATGGGACCAGCAGTTAGCATAATGGCCATGTCGCTGGACTCCCACGTAGTTGACCACAGTTCGAGTCCTGGACCCGGTGGCTTAAACTCACGCCAGGCACGTGTACTTGTGTGCCCAAGATCCCAAGAGGAGAAGAGAGGAGAAGGGATTGCGGCATGGCCATCCCTCCGGGGGGTGACTTCTCACTTTCCCCTCACCATTTCTCTCTCTCTCTCTCTCTCTCTCTCTGGCAAAGGCACACATCCTATGTACAAAACCTTCTTTAAAAAAAATGGGTTTCTGATAAGTAGGAGAAGCTTAAGGGTTGGTTTATGAAGACTGAGGCCCCATTTCCAAGGGACAGGTTACCACAGTAGTGTGTAGATGATGCACATCAGAATGTAGAAGAGATGCCTTTATGCAAATCAGCCTTAGAAATCAGCAGGCACAGCTCCGTTTCTGACCCTCTGCCCTTTCCCATCCTCTTCTCACACTATCTCTGGTGTCTACAGTTGTCTTCCATTCCTGTCCCCTCACATTGTATTGATCACACAATTTCTTAAATACTCTTGACTACTTTCAATAGCAAGTTCATTTGGTAATTTCAAGAAAAGCAGTTTTAACTTAAGTCAAAGAAATGCTAAGGAACTTTGCATAAAACGTAAAGCCACAAAACAGGTTAGGATTCTGTTTAAATGATAGGTACACGAACCGAACCTATCGACAGCTCAAGACAGGATACAAACCCTTAAAATGGGACTACAAAGCCTAGAAGAAAATCAGCAATGTTTTAGTCAAAAGTCATGAAATCTTATTTCACCAAATCAGTCTCATGTACTTTATCTTCTGTTGTCGTTTGATTTCCCCGATTAAATTCTGGGATATAATATTCAACTCCAGACTTGTCCCTATGATTAAGTTGGCCATTTTCTTAGTTTTTGAACTCTTATTTCTGTGTGTCTGTATTTAATTTTCCTGATATAGCACTTCCTTGAGAACTTCTTGGAGATCTGGTCTGGTGCTGGTAAGTTATTTCAGGTTTTGTTTATCTGAGAATGTTCCTGTCTTTTCTTCCCACATGAAGGATAATCTTGCTGGGTACAGTATTCTTGAGACCTTTTTAAAAATACTTTTTAAGATTAGAAATGAAATATTTGTCTCTGTAAGTAAGAAAGTAGGAAAGAAATAAACGTTAGTTAGTTAACCGTCTTTCATTTTAACTATATTGTCTTCTCTCATTAGTAAAGCTTTCAAACAAATAAAAAAAAGTTGCATTTGCTAAAACTCCTGGGGGCTGAGGAATCATATACATTCTCCAGACCAGTATGCAGTTTTACTGTACAGAAACTGCGAGGTTGCTGGTGTGATTATGATGCTGTTTCACAGATTAGAAAACAGCAGTACAGACGGGTTATTAGTTTCCCAGGTTAGTGATGGGGACATTGGTCCATGTTGCCTATCTTTAGACCTGCAGTCTTTTCAGACAAGATTATACCCCCAATAATATGTTTCTGCATTTTTTGGCAATATTAGTTAAGTGAAAAGGATGTTAGACTTAGCTTATTCTTTTTCTTTCTTTTTTTATTAATATATAATAGGGTGTATGCACTTATTGGAGAGAGACAGAGAGAGGGAAAATGAGAAAGTAGCCTCCCAAGGAAGATAGCCATGTCACAATCCCTTCTCCATCATTTCTCTCTCAGAATTTTGGGAACACACACACACAAACACACACACACAACATGTTTTTCAAGCCACTAAGTCTAGGACCCAAAACACACAGTTGGCTATTTGGAATCCAGCTGCCTTAATCGTCATACAAATGACTGACTCTTCAGTCTGATATTTATGAATTAAGCAATCTGAATTTCACTCCCACTCCGGAGAGCAATTGTAGACCCTTAATAATCATGTTATTTTATAGTAAAATATATGTAAAAATTCTACATTCAAATTTGAAAATATTATGTCCTAATACATGTATTTGTTTGACAATGGCCATTTGAAGGCTAGTAATCCATAGATATTACAAATTCTATTGAGAAGTTTCTGGTTCTAAATCCAACTTACCCAATAGATGGAGACATATTCTCCATAGGAATAACTTCTCTGGTAATATCTCTCGTCGGTATTGCTCCATGTCATACCATTGCCACTGAAAAAATATAATCATCTGGCTAAGACGGTTGATAGGATATGTGAATAGGGAGTTAGCTTTGGCTGATAGATCTGAGGTTTGGAGTATATTTGTTAATAAGTCTCATAAATAGCCCATTTATTCATGGGAACAGTCTATTTTTAATGTGTTTTTGTTTTCTATTATTAAGTTGTCACATAATAGTTGGACATATTTATGGGGTATAGTGTGATGTTTTGATATGCATGCAATGTGCAATAATTAAATGAGACTAATTCACTTATCCATTTCCTCAAACATTTGTCATTTATTTGTAGTGAGAACATTCAAGATACCAATACACAGTGTATTTTGGATGGAAAAAAAATAAAAATTAAAAAAAGATACTTTCTTGTAGCTATTTTGAAATACGTAATATCTTATTGTTATCTATAATCACTCTGTTGTGCAATGGAACACTGGAACTGTTCCTCCTATCTATAACTTTGTACCCACTTTCCAGCCTCTCTCATCTTTCCATCCCTACTACCTTTTCCATCATCTGGAAGCCACCATCTACTTTCTACTACTAGATTAACTTTTTTTAGATTCTACAAATGAAATTGTGTAGTGTTTGTCTTTCTGTACTCAACTTACTTCACTTAACATAAAGCTATCCAGATTTGTCCATGCTGCTGCAATTCACAGGATCTTTCTTTTTCTATAGATAGCTGAATAGTATTCCACTGTGTAATTCCATTTCTTTATTCATTCACCTACCGTTGAATACTTAGGTCAATTCCATATCTTGACTATTGCAAATAGTGTTACAATAGACATGGGGAGTGCAGGTATTTCTTCAACATACTAATTTCAATTCCTTTGGCTATATATCTATTAGTGTAATTTCTGGGTTATATGGTGATTATCTTTTTCGGTTATAAAGGACCTCCATCCTGTTTTTTATAATGAATACTAGTTTACATTCCCATCGACAGGGTATAACAATTTTATTTTCTCCACAGCTTTGCCAACATTTGTTATTTCTTGTCTTTTTAGTAATTGTCATTATAACTAGGGAGAGATAATATCTTAGTGTTGTTGTGATTTGCATTTCCCTGGTGTTCAGTGATGTTGAGTATTTTTCATATACTTCTTGGCCATTTGTATGTTTTCTTTTAAGAAATGCCTATTCAAATATTTTCCCTTTTTTAATTTGCATTTTTTCCTAAGTTGTATTTTGGCTTGTTATTTTTTTAGTTGTTTGAGTTCCTTACATATTTTAGATATTAACTCCTTGTCATTTGCCTAGTTTGCATGTATTCTCTCCCATCCCATAGGTTGTCGCTTCACTCTGTTGATTTTTTTATTTTTTTTTCCTTTGCAATATAGAAGCTTTTTAATTCAATGTAATTCCATTCCATTCCATATTTTTTACTTTGTTGCCTATACTTTTGGAATCTTATCCTAATTTTTTTTTCCAGGTCAGTGTCATGACCTACCTATATTTTCTTCTAGTAGTTTTCCTAGTTTGAGGTCTTGCATTTATATCTTTAAATCATTTTGAGTTGAATTTTGTAAATGATAAGAGATAGAGATCAAGTTTGATCTTTCTGCATGTGAATATCCAGTTTTCCCAGGATCATGTATCGAAGAAATTGTCTTTTCCTCAATGTATGTTCTTGATACTTTGTTGAAAGTCTGTAAATATGTGGATTTATCTGTGGATTCTATTTTGTTCCATTGGCCTATGTGCCTGTTTTTATACCATACCATGCTATTTTAGTTACTATTGCTTTGCTATGAATTTTAAAGTCAGATGATATGATGACTTTAGCTTTGTTCTTTTTACTCAGGGTCCTTTGACTATTCAGTCTTCTGAGGTCCATAATGATCCAAATTTTAGGATGATTTTTTCTATTTCTAGGAAGAATTGCATTGGTAGGGATTGTATTGAATCTGTAGTTCAATGAAACTACTCCCTAGGGGGAAATAGCCATGACACAATCCCTTCTCTTCCAGTCACTTCTGGGAGTTTCAGGCAAGCTTGTGTATGTGCCCAGCGTGATATCTGAGTCCTGCCAATGCTGGGACTCAAATCAGGGAGTCCAGCCATGTGGGATCCAGCACCTTAACCTCCATGCCACCTGCCAGTCCCAGTATGGACATTTAAACAGCATTTATTCTTTTAATCCATGAACATTAGATATGTCTCCATTTATTAATGTCCTCATTCTCTCATCAGTGTCTTATAATTTTCATTATAGAGATCTTTCTCTTTTTTTGGCTAGGTTTATTCTTGAGATTTGTGTTTGTTTGTTTTGGCTTTTGTAGCTATTGTAAATGGGATTGCTTTCTTTTCTTTTCCTAAGTTTTTTTTTTTTTTTCCTTCCAAGAGTGTAAGAGACAGAGAGAGCAACTTAGAGACAGCACCCAAATAGGGTACTGACTCTGTGCTCCACGACTCCATTCTCTGCAAGCCCCAGATCATGGGCACACATCTGCTTAATGTTTTCAGGGAGATTTCTGGATGCAAACCTGAAAAAAACCCAGGTTAATCAGACTATTTTACTGTTGAGCCACCATCCAGCCCCAGAACTGTTTTCTTGATTTCTAATTCACAATTGGTGTACAGAGATGCCTTTGTTTTTTCTAGGTTGATTTTATTTCCTGCAACTTTACTGAACTCATTTATCAGTTCTAATAATCTTTGGTGGAATCTATGTTTTCTTTAATAAAAGATTATTTCATCTGCAGATATGGACTTCCTTCTTTTCAGTTAGAACTCCATTTACTTTTCTTGCCTATCTGCTCTGGCTTGGACTTTCAATACTATATTAAGTGAAAGTGCAAAAGTGGTCATTCTTATCTTGTTCCAGATTATAGAAGGAAGTATTTGAACTTTTTCCCCATTTAGTATTATGGTGGCTATGGATTTGCCATAAATGTTCTTTAAAGTACATTCTTTTTTTTTTCTTTTTTTGGAGAGGTTTTTTGTTACAGGGCTCATATGCTACCAGAAAGACAGAGAGAGAGAAAGAGAGAGAGAGAGAGAGAGAGAGAGAAAGTGAGAAATCACCCCCCAGGGGGGATGGCCACGCTGCAATCCCTTCTCTTCCATTCTCCTCTTGGGATCTTGGGCATACACGCACATGAGCCTGGTGTGAGTTTAAGCCACTGGGTCCGGAACTCAACCACGATTGACTACATGTGAATCCAGTGACACAGCCATTATGTCAACTGCTGGTCCTAAAGTAAATTCTTTCTGAACCTAATAGATTGAATTTTTATGAAGGAATACTGAATTTTACCAAATCTTTTTTCTTGTTGAGATTATAGTGTCGTCTTTGCCCTTCATTCTGTTAATATGATGTATTGTGTGTTTTGATTCATGTGTAGTGAGCCACCCATGCATTCCTAGGATGAATCTCTCTTGGTCGTGGTGAATATGATCTTTTTGCTGTGCTGTTAGTTTTTGTTTGCTAGTATTTTGTGAAAATTTTTGCATCTAGTTTCATCAGAGATATTTGCCTATGTATTTCTTTTTGTTGTGTGTCCTTCCCTGATTTTGGTATCAGGGAAAAGCTGGTTTTACAGAATGAGTTTGGAAGAGTTCCCTCCCCTTTAAATTTTTAGAATAATTTGAGAATTGGTATTTGTTCTGTAAATGTGTAGTAGAACTTAGCAACAAAGCTGTCAGGTCCTGAGCTTTTATTTAATAAAGTTCTTGCTATAGATTCAATGTTGTTATTAATTATTGGTCTGTTCAGATTTTCTATTTTCTCATGATTTAATCTTGGATGGCTATTCGTGTCCAGAAATTTTTCAGTTTCTTCTGGATTTTCCAATTCGTTGGCATATAGTTGATCATAGCAGTTTCTGATGATCTTTTGTGTTTCTGTGGTCACAGTTGTAATGTCCCCCCTTTTCTTATTTTTCTTATTTGCATCTTCTCTCTCACTCTAGGTAAAGGTTTATTCATTTTGTTTATCTTTTCCAAAAACAAACTTGTTGTTTCATTGATCTGGTATACTTTTTTTTTTTTTCCCCTCAGTCTCTGTGTCACTTATTTCTGATCTGATATTTATTATTTCTTTTATTCTACTAATTTAAAGTTCACTTTGTTCTTATTTTTCTATTTTCTTGAGGTACAAGGTTAGGTTAGTTGTTATGAGTCTTCTTTTTTGATGTAGGCATTTATTACTGCAAGCTTCCTTCTTAGAATTGTTATTTTCTCATTCCATGGGTCTTGGTATGTTGTTTTAATTTGCATTTCTGTCTGGAAGTTTTTACATTTTAATTTTAATTTTTTTAACTGACCCATTAATTATTAAGAAACTTTGATTTTGCACATATTTGTAGTTTTTTATATACATTCCTTTATTTATTTATTTGTTTTAGATTTCATTTTATTTTTTACTTACATGAGCTTTCAAAAGCTGATCATTGTAACTACCATATAGCTTTTTTTCCTCCAAAAACTTTTGTTTTCTTTACACTTTTTAAATGTACATTTAATCACTGTATATTTTTACAGTGTACAAAATGTTTTTATTCCAGTATAGATGTAGTGCATATCAATCAAGTCAAAAATTTTATCATATTGATTTTAGCTTGTATATCATCATGGTGTGAGGAAATACTTGAAATGATTTCAGTCTTCTTAAATTTGTTAAGACTTGTTTTGTAGCCTAACATATAGTCTCTTCTGGATAAAGTTCCATGTGTTAAGCCAAATATGTATCTGTAACTGTTGGAATGTTTTGTAAGTGTTTGTTAGGTCCATTTGTTTTAGAGTGCAATTTAAAAATCAATGTTTATTGAGTGTTGATCTAAATGATCTGTTTATTGCTAAAAGTGAGGGTTGACATTCTCTACAATTATTGTATTGTAGTCCATCTCTCTCTCCCTTTGGATCCAGTAATAATTGCCTTATATAGTTGGAGGATCTAGTGACAGGTGTACATTGTATTCACAATTGTTATATCCTCTTCCTCAATTTACCACATCAACGTTATATGATGATCTTCTGTGTCTCT